TTTTTTTAATTTTTTAATTCAGTTCTATTTTTTTTCATTTAAAAATAAATATAATAACTTACCATTTTAATAATTTACCACTTTACGAATTGTTTTGTTCTTGATTTTCAAATCTACTTTCGGTTTTCAAATTACAATTTATTTCCGATGTATTTTTGCAGTGAATCATCAAAATATTGCCATAATAATGCAACCAAAACTGTCGTAAATAATTATGATTATGGATTAACGGCATCATCATCAGCACAAGCTACAACATCATTCACATCCGGTACACCATTATCCGGAATTACTCGTAGCCGAAAAGTTGATCGACCATTAACGCAGCAGGCATCAGCAATTATCAATATCGATGGATTGCAAGGATGCACTGATCGTGTACCTATGTAAATAAGTATTATTATTTCATTTTTAAGTATTATCAAATTTAATTCTAATAAAACGTCTCTTCAACATTTATTATATATGGATATATAAATTATGCAAATAAAATTTTCACCTACAAATAATTTATTTCTCTTTATTATTATTTCATTCTTAAGTATTATTAAATTTAATTCTAATAAAATGATTTCGTTAGCATTTATTACATAAAGATATAATAAATTAACTACAATGAAGAAATTTTGCTCGGCCTAGTTTTCTCTTCTTTTTAAGGCCAACACGATCGCTAACTTCTCGGTCTCATATGAATAATACTACAGCTTTACGAAGATCTGATGCGGTACCAGTGATAAGAACACGATTAGACCGATCGATTAATGCCGGGCCTGCATTAAATACTTCTGAATCGTTACACAAAATGGTAAGTTATTAAATTTATTTTTAAATGAAAAAAAAAAGAGTATGAAAATGAATGAATGAAATGATAGTTTTAACTTATAATTTTTTGATAAATTTTGAATTAGCAATGGAGAATTATTTGCTAAAATTGATTAAATTTGTGATAATTTGAAGTTTAATATTTGTAATAAATGCATTTAAATTACTGTCTAATTCAACGATTACTATTAGTAATTGAATTAGTTAGACAAATGATTTAAAAAATGCCTTTTTTTTTTGCTGCAACGGATGAACTGGAACATTTTACTAATAATTAATATCAAAATATTATTTTAAAAAAGAAGCAGAATTGAAATAATTCAACAATTTGCACTAGTTTATTTATTTTCTTCTTTTTTTTTTTCTCGAAATCTGATCCGACACGATATAACAAATATGGAATGAACGGGGTGGATGAAGAAACGGTTGAAATAGCAACAGCACATGGTAATAAGCCGACAACAAACGGTGTACAACGAATATTAGTTGATCCGGATAGACCATCGACAGCTTATACTAATTATACTGAACAGGTAATGCTTCGTTTTATTTTAGAATAAATGAAATTGAATTTTAGTAAAAAAGAAAATGATACGTGACGTTCTTTGTATAATTAGTTGATTTGTATAATTTATTATATATTAGTTTTGTTACTGTAATATTTCTTACACTATTCAAAGTAATATAATGTTAAAAATTCTTAATATTAGTTAATAAAACATTAATAATCTCGATTGAATAGCATATTTATCATCTTGCCTAAAATAATTTTCTTATCTTTGTTTTTTTTTTTCTTTTTCATTTCTGATTACAGTTATGCCGGAGAACAAATCTCCTAGGAATTAGTGAACATGATTCAGCTATATCAGGTACATATACTGACCTGAACAATGGTTATCATCGAACTTCAGGTGCTGCAGTACCACGTTCTGTTTCGCCTAATATTTGTTCCAGGACGTACGTTTTCTTTTCATTATTATTAAATTACTTAGCTTAACTTTAAATGTTAATAAAAATGTAATATTAAAATATAACAATATATCGATTTTTGTTTCCTAAGATTTTCTTATTGGAATTTAATATGCTAAATATCAAATATTTTTAATAGGTCATAGAGTAAATTTCGTAATATCCGATTTTTTTCATATTTTCCTCTCTAAACTAACTTAGCATGAGTAAAACATAGTACATTAACTGGAATGAAATAATGAAACTGAACTGTCTTCTTTTGCTAATCATAAATTATGCTTAATGATATTCAAAATATCTATCAGTAATAGACTAATCAAAAATTAGCTTATTTCAAATTCTAATCTAATTTATCGGCTAATTTTCATCAGTTTTCTTGTATTTCACTGTTTTTTTTTTCTTGGAATTTTCGTATATTTGACTAATTCGATGAAATGTCTTAGCATTTTAGCAGAAACATTCACAAGTTGTTGGTAATATTTTTATCAATCGTAAATGAGAAGGAAAAATAGTGAACCGTGACATATTTTATTGATATTTTAATTCCGCTTTAGTTGCTGTTTATTGATATTTTTATTCCACTTTAGTTGCTGTTTATTGATATTTTAACTCCGCTTTAGTTGCTAGCTAAAATTTGAGACTATCATATCTAAAATATCCGTCTGATATTTTTTACTGATTCGAGAACAGTCATTTAATGATGATGATAATAGTGATTTATGATGTAAAATTCCTGAAATGTTCCATCTAACATATTAATATTAAATTTGTTGAATAGATATAATGATAATTGAATAGCAGCGATACGGTAATGAAAATGATTATTAAAATGACTTCTTTGCATTCCTAAACTTTAACACTACTCTGTCTTTATAATTGCATTATTATTCATCGTTTCCGGAATTCATTTCCGGAATTTTTTTTCCTCATTTCCCGTCTAAATTCTATAGCTCATAGCTGAATAATAGCAGGAATATGATTGTAAAATTTGATGCATATATTTCAGGATATTAGAATTTTGAAATTTTCAAAATTTTTGATTTTGATTATGATACTCGATTGATCAAGCATTAAATTTAGTCCAATTTGCAAGGCTAACATTGATGTTTAACTGGTCAAATACTGTAATATCCTGAAGTACTTAAGATCTAAAAAAAAATGCAAGATTGATGCATATTGCATATTCCATGATTAATTAAAAATTCTGACTAATCAAAAATTGAAAATTTTCAAAATATTTCTCGCTATCAAAATTACATTATTTTCCTTTCATCTGTTTATTTCTAATATTTTTAAATTTATAGAAGTGGTGAAATGGATGAAGTAACACGTTGTATGTCGCCTTTACCAGGAAATATTTTGCGTAAATTACGTACGAACACATATGAATCGGTTATCAAACCATGTAAGCCACGATTATTTTGCTTCTATATGGAACAGCATGTGGAACGCTTAATACAGCAGTATAAGGAGCGGCAACAACGTGCACGACAGGTTATGATAATTCTTTTAATTCTAAATATATTAAATTTAATTTAAGTGCATGCAACGATGATATTATTAGAATGGGAAATTATTTGAAATGAATTTGATTAGAATTCATAAATAATTTATTTTATATGATGATACAGTAATACTGTCATAAAATATATTTCTGCGTTACTTCATAATGATGTTATCTTTTAGGTACGATATTTTTATTCAGTCTTACATAAAGAAAATAAATAAAAATAAAATTAATCATCTATTACTTAATTTTATTCACTCATAATAACAAGATCTTTATTAACTTTATCCTTTATAGCAACAACAACAACAACAACGAATTTTAATTTTTAATTATTTTTTATAGTTAAAGATATGTTTTGTTTAGATGATAAGTAATTGTTTTTTATTTTCAGCTTGCTAAAGAAATGGAATGTGCGGATTTGCCGGAAAGTATGCGTGAACATATGATGATATTTCTAACACAAAAAGAATCACGTTATTTACGATTGAAACGGCAAAAAATGAACAAAGATATGTTTGAAGTAGTGAAACATATTGGTTTCGGTGCATTTGGTCGTGTATCATTAGTTAAAAAGGTTACAAATTTAATTTAAAATTTCATGTAAAATTTTTTGCAATTTCCAAATATTCTAGATTTTTTTTTTTTTAAATTAAGTCATCCGAACTAAATCTTGCTTATCTATTAGAATGATATTATTTGATTTTTTATTTTGTAATTTTCATTTTTAGAAGGATACTGGTCAAGTATATGCGATGAAAAAATTACTAAAGAAAGATGTAATTATGAAACAGCAAGCAGCACACGTAAAAGCTGAACGTGATATCCTTGCAGAAGCTGATAGCAATTGGATCGTCAAACTTTATTACTCATTTCAGGTGCCGTTTATTACACATTCTCAATGTATATATTTAAGTTTTGATGTCACTAAAATAAAATTACAAATTTGGTGTTATCAATATTTTGGTTGAACTCAGAATTTATCCATTTCATGCTTCTGCAAAAGCCTAATTGTATGAAATAGTTGTTGGCTTGTCTGGTGCTTTTATAGCATTTACCAAACTCAGGTTCAGTATTACTTGCCAGTTGACGGGTTTTTTTTTTTTTTAAAGTAACAGTTACGAAATGATCATTTCTTTTCAGGATGAACAATCTTTGTATCTTATCATGGAATATGTTCCGGGTGGTGATATGATGCAACTTCTTATTAACAAGGGACTGTTTGACGAAAAACTTGCTAGGTAAAGTTAACTTTAATCAATATTAATCCGTACTAGTAGTAGTAAATGCATTTAGAGTGTCCAAAAATTACTTCTTTTGCATTTATAAACGTCCAACAAATTTTGAAAAATTTTTTCAAAAAAAATTTTTTTAAATTTCAGATTTTACATTGCTGAATTAACATGTGCCATTGAATATGTTCACAGCCTTGGTTTCATTCATCGTGACATTAAGCCAGATAATATATTGATTGATCAGAATGGTCATATTAAATTGACCGATTTTGGTTTATGTACGGGTTTACGATGGACGCATGATAAACGATATTATGGACCTGATAATGATGAGGTTTTTTTTTTTTTTCTAATTTTTTCCTATACAATTTCATTTTCAAAATATTTAAGACTATAGTTATGAATAAAAAAAAAATTATTCGGAAGCTAAAACAACTAAAAAATTTCAATTATCACGTATAGTATTTTCCAATATGATCTATTGTAATAACTTAATACTGAATAGAATGATCAATAATGAGTATTCTGAAAATGATTTACAAACACTGAACGAAAATTATTTTGTTCGAGTTGTGTTTCATTTTACAAATGAAAACTCAGTAAATGTTTAATAGTGTAAATCAAAGATTCCTAATATTTACTTATGCATTCCATATTCAAATCATTAATATAGCAACTATAAACTTTTCATTATTGACTCTTTCTCGAGATTAAATCAAGATTCCTAATATTTACATATGCATTCCATATTCTAATCATTAATATAGCAACTATAAACTTTTCAGTATTGATTCTTTCTCGAGATTTTCCTTTTAACATATATTTTTTGTTTGTTGTGATGAAAATATTCTAAAATTTTTATATATCAAATTACTATTTACATTTTCTACAGGTAGAAAATACGGAAGCACGGAAGAGTTATTTGGCTTCGCATCCAGATCTATCAGGAATAGGTCGACCAAAAGTGCTAGAAATTAGAAATCATTGCAAACGAAATCAATCACATTCATTAGTAGGAACCGATAATTACATGGCACCAGAAGTAATTCGAGGCACCGGTAAGCCTTTTAATAAATTAAATTGAAAAAAAAAAATTTTTTTTTTAATAAATTGAAAAAGATTTGCAAGATTTCGTATGCTGTATTACTTAACAGAGCAGTGTAAATTCTTTCCAAAAA